GCCTCTTTACAGTGCTTATACTTAAAAACCTACTCTAGAACAGGTCGTAATTTTAATATAATTAAAGTCATGGGTTTCATCTTTAGCATAGTTAACGCTCCACTGTTAAATAGTCATAAAGCAAATAATTAGCCTCAATAGAACATGAAGCAGACTTATGTCAACTTATACCCTTGATCACAAGGAGAACACTGATGACACAAGAAAGAACAGTATGAATTTATTCACAGTTAGGAAGAAAATATATTTTGGCATAATCCTTATTGGCAGTCTATTAATTCTATTGCCTTCATCTATATAACATGGAATTTTATGTTTTTAGAAAGGTAGTCATTTAAAGTAAACTATTATGCACTCAGGATGAGAAAAACATAAAATTAAATTTGAAGCCAATGTAATGAGGAATTATCAAGAAGAACATTTGAGGCAGGCAGATGTGGTTTCCAGCATTGGCTCTGTCAATTAATTTCTTTGTAAACTTGAGAACATTATTTACTGTCTCCAAGAGGTTTAATGGTAAATGAAGATAATAATAGCTCTTTCTGTTATTCGGTTGTTTTCTTATTTAATAGTTACAAATATACAGTGAATCTGAATCTGAATGCATAATATGGTGTTTGATACTTGGCAAACACTCAATATTTATTAAGTAAATTGATATTCATGCTCAAAGGTGATTTAAAGGTGTTTTTATATGTGTTCTTATACTTGGATGGAAATACAATGCCATTAAATAAAGACAAGGGATGTAGCTGTGAACACATTAATTATTATTTAAATTGCTTTGATATATTTAAAAAAGTCTTAGATTCTCAGGAGACTGAGGCCCTAGCATCAGAAGCCAAGTGTTTAATTCTTAAACCCTTACCCTAGTAGACCACTTAGTATATTATAAATTAAAAAACAGATATTTTATGAGTGAATGTGTTTTAAAAATTCATATTTACTAATGAACAACCATATATCAGAGACAATTTGTGGAGGTGAAGTGGGGAATGGGATCAAAAACGGGGGGGTAGGGACGGAAGTGCACGGGACTATGGTATGGCACAGGGGTGACTCAGTGATGGGAAACCCGCAGGGATTACAACTGAGATGGAAAAAAAAATGTACAAAATGATGTAAAAATAAGCTGTTATACTACCTAAAAATAATAATAATAAATTCATATTTACTTTTGGAAAATATAATTAAATCTCTTATAGACTTTAAATACTTTTTACTCTTTTACTGTTTCTCCTAGAAGAATTCTCCATTCTGATGTTACCCAATCGTCTTTAGGTTTTATGACCTAATGTATCTTATTAGTTGTAATTATACTTTAAAACTTAAAGGTAAAAAAAAAAATTGCTGCTACATGTTATTTTACATGTTATTTTATGAAGCATCATAAGATGATTTTCAATTCCAGAATTGTTGCTTTCATCCCCCTTAGTACATTAACCAATTTCTGCCAACAGCAGAAGGTTTAGAGTAGAGGACAACCTTTTTAGCAACGTGTCATTTTTTTTTTAATCTAATACCCTTTTTAATTGTGGAGATCTTGTTTTTAATATGATCCCACAGGAAAATTGAAGATGATTGAGTGACTTGTCTGGCATCTTTCCTAATAGTCTTCTGTTTTCTCCCTTTATTTATTTTCTTATTGAGGTAACATCAGTTTACAGCATTTCTTATGATTTAAAGCATCTTTAGTTCTCCATCATAGACCACTGATCCACCTCCCCACTCCCCTTTTCCCCTTCCCCTCACTACCCAATAACCCTGATAACCTTTAATTGGGTAGTCGGTTCTTTGGCATTTAAGCTGTTCCTGTGGCTTGGCTGTTATAAACACTGCGGCAGTAAAATAGAAAAGCAAGTATCCCTTCAAATTTGGCCTTTTCTGACCTATTCTATACACACACATACAATATTAATCCACTATTTTCAGATTTAATTGTTTTGATACTGTTTAGTTTTACTCCATCTCTTTGCTACAGTTGATCAGTCTTTAATCTTCTTTAGAAGAAACCCTTGATTCCTTCTCATTTACAAATACATTTTGATACCTGAAACATTGACACACCTTAATGCTCCAATGTTTCTAAAGTCAGGTTAATAGGTCAGCTACACAAAATTAAACAAATAAAAAATGGTAACTAATATTGAGTGCTTTCCTCTTGTAGATGTTGTGTAAGTAGTCTCCATCTTTATTAATGGTTGTCTACTCAGTATCTCCTAGCGGCTTCTATTTCCTTTCCTACTGTTAATATTCCACTTTTAAAGCAAAACAAGTATAAGAATAACAAAATGTATTTCTTCATCAGATGCCTCTGTAGTGGTGAAAGATATTTCAGAAACATTGTAAAAATAACTTTCAGTTTTACAACTAAAACAAAATCAAGAGACAAGGTGGAACAAAATCAAGATGGAACAAGGGGTTAAAGTGCAGCATAATGAAGCTATCTGCAGCCACTGCAGCCTGAGCTCAATCCCTGGCCAGGGAGGTGACCCACATAACAGAGCAGACCTCTGCTCACCTGCCCACTGCTCCCCTTAGCAGTATATTTCAGCCAGTCTGCCTGTTCTGTTCTCCACTCTGTCTCTTGTAAATCCTCTCACCCCCTCACCTCTGACCTGTACCCCAATTCTTGTATGTGTATGCATAATAAATAAATATTAAAAAAAAACAAGTCTGGATGTGACAATATGTTAAGATTGGATTATCAGAAGAATAATTTGTAAAAAATTTCCAGAACATAAAGATTTATCCAAAATCATTGTACCTTGAGATTGGCACTTCATTAAATCATCTAGGAAACAAGTATACTATGAATAATACTCTATATTGTTTGTATAATAAGAATAACATATAATAAGAATTTACCCTGATATTTTAAGGCCAATATATGTGTCATATGAAAGAAAGGGTTCTGGCCCGAAGGAGCTATGAGTGGTCAAATGGCGGTGTGTCCTTTCTTCCACGTTATTTCAAGGCTGAGTCAGGATTTATTTTATCTCATGGCATAGTTTTATTCCCTTATAGGTAATACACCTACAGCTGAGGTTGCTGACCAAATACTGCTGACAACGATTTTGGTTTCCTAATAAGGAGTTAGCTATGCTTCTCTTTGAACATTTTTTTTTCTATTTGGCATTTCAGCCAGAAATAAATACTTTATTTTCCTAGATATTCTTGACCTCCAAAGTCAGATGACCCTCTTAAAAGCTTCTCTGATGCTAGATATATATCCATTCTCTTGCCTTTAATACAGATTTCTCATTCTCGGGATTGAACTACTCTTAAGTGTTCTTTTTACTCATAAGTTTTGCCCTTTTAAAAGATATTTTTGTTCTGACAGTTTCTTCTCCATTACTCTCTTTCCTAAAGTCCTTCACCTTAGCTCATTTCAAAAAATGCATGGTCTTGAAGTTTCCACAAAATCCATTACAAATTTACTATTACATTTGACACTACGCTAAAGCATAGGGAACAAAAACAGACTTCTTCTTAAGAAAGCTCAGCACACTTTAGTATTATGGAGTGACTAACAGAAATTATTAGCAACTGATAATTAGTGTAAAAAGCAGGTTATCATATTTAATGGTGATCATGAAATGAACATACTTGAGTGTGATACTTAGAGAATAGTGAGTTATAAAGCAGACATTCCTGTCAGGTATGGAATAAAGGAGAAAGATTACATCCTAAGGAAATGGGCAATATCACCAAAGCAAGGAGACAGAAGAGATGAGAGTGTATAGAGATAAAGGCAAAGTCCCTTATATTGAAAATCTTATTTATCATGTTAGGAAGCTTCACCTTTCCCACCGGAAAATGTGATAAATCAGAGAGATTCTAATCATGAGAATAGCATGATCAGACTTATAACTTAAACAAATCACTCTATAAAATGCTGAAGAAAGAATGAAGGTAGCCAATATTATGACAAAATGTTTAAATTTACTGATTAAATCGGAAACTTGCCTTATGCCACATTTAGCTATTAACACAACATCTGCCAAAGACCAAAGGTAAAGCTATAACTATAAAACTCTTAAAAGGCAACAAAGATTGAAAACTTCATGACATTGGTTTGGCATGATATCCTGGATATGTCACCAAGAGCACAAACAACAAAAGAAAGACAACAGATTAACTAGATCATATCCAACTTCAACATGATTGTGGGTATGATACTATTAACAAGAAAAACATATGACTGATAGAATACTTGTGAATCATATGTACAATAAAAATTTATTATCCAGAATATATGAAGAACTACAACTCAACAAATATAGATTCCAAGTTTTAAAAAAATGGGCAAAGGAGTTGATAAATATTTTTCAAAATATATGTATATGCTAAGTAAACATTGTTGGTGGGAATGTAAAATGTTGTAGCTGGTAGAGATTTTGCTAAGCAAAGCTAGTGAGGAGGAGAAAGACAAATACCAGATGGTTCCACTAATACGTGTATTTATAGAGAAATGAAATGGAGTGTCAGACAAAACCATACCTAGACATCTGACTATAAAATTGAGGCTATCAAAAGAGGAAGGGGAAAAGTGAAGCTGGGAGGGGACCCAGTGGACGACTATGAGTGACTCTGTGGTGGGTGTCATGTGGCAACATATTTCTGAAAGATGTGAACCTGTGTCTCTAAATCACAGAGTGAACTTATAAGCCAACATTCTTCAGTAAATAAAAATAAACAAATAAAAAAAATGGGACAGTGCTAGTGACATAGAGAAGATAATTGTTAAAACAACTGAGGAATCATAAATCTAATCAATATGGGGTCAATGAAAACTAAAATCAATGGCATGTGTTAAGAAGTGAATGACAAAGCATGGTTTAAAAATAAGGTTTAGTTAGAAAGTGAAGCAAAGCATGAGTCATAATAGCTAGAAGTCATTAGATAAAGCAAAGATTTTTATTCATATACTTGGCATTAGGCATTTTTATAGACTTAAAGTAGAAATCTACTAGAAAGATATATATATGGGAGAAAAAGGAAAAGAGAGGTGAAATCTTAGCATAACAGAAGGAATGATGTCAAGGTGAGGACCTTGAACTGGAGGTAACTAGTTAAAAAGAGGTTTCTCCTATTCAAAATATGCACTAAACAACTTAATTCCTATAGAAAATGAAAACTTGTAATTATTTTCTTTTCCAGGAAACAATGACTACATGAACACTGTGTTTCAAATTTCAGGTCGATGATCCAGAAATTCAGAAGCTAAATACTCTAATCGACTCAGAATGTGGTGTCTTTTCTGCCTCAGTTGGAGTTCACATAGAAGCCTAGGGAAATTTATATTCCATTTTGAATTTTCTTCCTCTCTCAGAATGAGTGCCAGGGATACATCTATACATGCACTTAGGAAATGTTGCAGTATGTAGCTCTTCCCCAAGTGCAGCGTCAAAATGGAGCCAGCTGGCCACAACCCAGCTTTATAGCAGCATCTCCTACAAGAAATTATAAAGTCCTTGCAGAGCTAGCTTCGTTTTCAAATGCTGATTCCTGGTCCTACTTTACTGCATTTGTCGCACAATAGTCTCGCCAGAGTTGCTTGAGGGATAGAGACAAGAAGTTGTGAGAGACACGGAACACTCACTTTCAAGGCTATGATGAAATTATGTCATTTTGTATCCATTCCTCTTCAGGAAAAGAAACCATTGAAGGTCGCCATACACTTAGACTATAAAATGTGTTCTAGGAAATTAGTTTCTATTTAGGATGTCTCATATATTGCTAGGGAAAAAAAAAAAAAAAAGATTATGTTACCTGTATTACCTGAACTCTACCATGTAGCATTCAATCCAAATCATTAAATCCAAAAGTGTCAAAACAGCACTGTAAGAGTCACACTAACCCGAAGTGGTAAATTAACATCTCAACCGTCTATGGGAAAGTTAGAAATAACTCCTTCAGATGAAAACTGGGAATCCTACTTGGGCTAATACAAGTAGAGTAATGGGAGATGAAAAAAATTAAGTGTATTACTATGACTAAGAAAATAAAATTGTATCTTCTATAGGAACACACATGCACAAGCAAAAGAGGATTATCAAATCGGCCTTTATATTGAATATGCTTAGTGTATTTTCTATTATTAGAAAATGTTTATCTTTTAATCTCCTTTTCTCTAGCAAAGTCTGAAAAAACATGCAAAAATCTGTTTACTCTGTCTTAAAATGATAAGCCAGTCCAGGAAGCATTTTTTTAATTAAACTGTGCTGATATTAATTAATAGTAAAATAGTTCAGTTAATAGCTAATTATGCAAAAGTTACAAAAATAATTTATGATAATATATACCACTCTCCACACATTTAGTGGTATTTAACACACATGGGAAGATTCACAGTGAGTTTTCAAAATGAATTCATAAAGGAGTGATGAAAGGAATATTATTGACAACATTTGGAATAATAATAAACGTATTCCAGAAACATCTCACTTCTTGTGTCAAAATTGTAATAAATTCAGTTACATTTAATTAGTTTGTCTTCCTCAGTCGTAACGTTGCAATATTACCTCCTTTGTACCAGATTCTTAAGATTCATATCTGAGTGTAAAAGAAGCAAATCAACAAAAAAAAAAAGAAACAAAAACAATATTATATTTATGGAACCTAAGTTCTAGTAAGCCCAAATCTGACAATTATTTCTCTATACAGTTTTTATAAAGGCCTCTCCATTTCCTTTTTAGAAGGAGTTCAGAGAGTAACTGTTTTCTTTTTGCATAACATATTCTCATTAGACTTATAAAAATACTATAGATTTCATTTATTATAAATATACACGATTTTGGATAAATTGCATTTAGAAGTTAAATAGCTTAGCATAGTTAGGTTGGATTAGCATAATTTCAGGTAACTCATAATATTTAAAATGTGCATTTTAATGTAAGAATCTAGTCAAAATTGATCTGTTGAATATTTCACATAGGAAGCTCATCTCTCTAGAATACCAAATAGAGGACAATTCTAAAATTATGTCAATTGTGTTAACGCATTTTGAACTACTCATCTTCTATTATTAAAGAATAATTCCAGAATTACTTGAATACTAATTATTATGACATTTGATATGAATTCAGATTGAATCTACAGAATTTTACTGAACTAAAATGTGAGATTTTTCTTATATTTTGAAGAATTGACAAATTTCTATTTTCCTAATATTTAATTAATTAATACAATCATATATATATATATATATATATATATATATGTATGTATGTATATCTGCTATACTCATATTTCAGGTCAGTGTCATACCTGAAATTTTAAACAGAATATTCTGAATATCTCAAATAACCTAGAATATTGTCTGCCTGCATAGTTTAGCTATAGTAAAATGCTGTGAATCTTTTTTTTTTTTAAGCCTTTTCCAACAATTGATGATGTCTTATCTGGTTGCAAATTATTTCTCTAACTGGAATCAACTAATAATTTGAAATTATTAGGTGAAGAACAAAAAGAATAAGAACACACACTTTTATTCTGAAGTTAAATCCTTTACTCCTAAGCAATGTCCCCTGAATACTTTTATTGTGATGTTCTGCAGAAACTAATCTCTTTCACCCAATTAATAGATTTCAGATAGTAGTTAACTCAGCATGCAATACAGGTCAAAGTTTCTGTGATTTATTTTATTTTATTTTATTTTTATTTTATTTTATTTTATTTTATTTATGCACACAAATGAAGGTATATACCAGAATTACTGGGGGGGGGGGAGAGGATTCCTCAGAAACAGATTGGGGAGAAGAACAGGTAGAATGACTGAGATACACTGCTGAGGGGAGCAGCAGGTGGTTCAGGAGAGGCCTGCTGCACCATGTGGGTCACCCCCGGGGTTTGAGCTTGAACTCTGTGTTGCAGTGGTTGTAGAGAACTACATAGTGCTATTCTTTAAACCATTGCACCACTAGGGAAGGCCCCTCTGTGATCATTTCTTTTCATCAATCACTTTTTAAGTGCCCAAATAAATCATATCCCCAACAAATTTAATTATTTATAGGTGAAACAAATTGAAATGTGCACAAAGGAACTTTATTCCTGCCATAAGTAATGGATTAAAATTAAATAGAAGTAGTGTTCTCTATAATGGTTTTATTAGTAAAAATAATAAGGTTTTCAAATTTTTAACAAAAATGAATTCAAATAAGACATAGGTTGAAAATTCACGTGTGTGTGTGTGTGTGTGCCTGTGTGTACTATGGCTTCAGTAGTATGGACTTATATAAATATGATTGATAGACTCATTGAAATTAATGCAATTCAAAGTGGTCAACATTTAAACAGTATTTGGTTAATAGTCTAAAAGTAAGAGTCTTGACTAAATTTCCAAATTATAGTGCCATAAAATTATAATTTTTTTATCTTGAGATACTGAAATTTTCTGAATGTTTCCTGGTACAGCTATCTATTTCATTAAGTGCAATGACTAGTTCTATTTTTCATCTGTTTATATGCATTACCTGTAGAAAGTTTTCTTGATGCTACACCAGTGAGTATTAATCTAACTAGACAACACTTGCTCATTCATTTACTTATTCAAATTAAAAGAATACCTGTCCCTTATAGGAAATGTCCTATCAACATTGGCCAATTTCTAACAAGGCTTATTACCTGTTGTTAAGAAGTGATCAATGTAATATTTCTGACTTCTTTACCCCTCATCTCCCTGACTTCTCAGGTGTATACTTGGAGACCTTTGTCTTTTAGCAATATGAGTAACATGTGCATGTTGCAGAGAATGTACCTTACAGTTGTACTATTGTTCTTCCTTTCCTGAAGTGGCCAGAACGGCAGTCACCTGATTTGTCACAGGTATGGCTCATTGTTTGCTGCCATAGTGGCTGTCTTCTCATTTTCACGAGGCATTTCACTATCTGAAACTTTTCTCTTTGCCTGTGATTTTTCACAAATATAGCTATTCTTTCTTATCAGCAAAATCTGTCTGCTGCTGTCACTTTATAGGTATACATTTTCTTCTACTTCAAATATGGCTAGAAAACATTCATGGAAAAAATTCTCTGACATATTCATATATTGGAACAAAACATTTTTACAGACTTAATAGATAATTAATGAGAAATCCATGAACAATGGAATTCAGTTATTAAAGCAAGTTGTCTTATTCATGAATTGACTCATTAATAGTAGAATTTACAAATGAAGTTGATGTTTCCTTATAAGAAATATTCAAGGTTATGAACATTTCATCAGGACTGATGAGGTAGATGTTTCTGATATAAATGTTAAAAAATACAGCCTTCACTTTCAAATTAAACCAATATTATGAAGCTATGCTCATATATACAGTGTTCTTTAGATTTATATATGTTGATCTAAGAGAAAAAAACTCATACAAATTTTCATAATGTTCTTTTAAAAAGTTAAAAAGACCTATTGTAAGTATCCAAATTCTTCTATTGAAATTTGAATTTAATTAGCTAAAATATTATGGCCATACTTATTTATAAAGACAAAGTATCTTTAAAGTTATAGATTCTTAATTATTTCATCTATTTGGTCATCAGTGTTTTATTTCAACAAATCTCAACATTTTAATCATTGAATGAAATATAAATTTCAATTAATATTTTGACTTGGTTAAGACACACACTAAAGTGTACAAATGGGTTATTTTTAGATGTTGTCATCTGTAATTCTTTCAAAGTTGAGATAAATCATACTATAAAAACGTAGTTTGGTAGACTTAAAATCATCTAATCTATAGTATTCCCTAAGTATTTGTTGCACAATGTGACTTTTACAATGAACCATACATATGTGACAAATTTGAAAGCATTCCATATATATATATAAAAAAAAACCAATAACATGCTTTCAATCATATTATAGGTAATTACCTCTGACTTTTTAAAATGTAAAGATCTATTTCTAGTGCTAAAAAGTAAATTGTGCCTTTCAAAGGCTGCAGAAGGAATTCCAGGTAGGTGTGTCTAGATGAATATTGAACAATAAAGAGTAAAATCCAAGGTATGAATACTCAATATAAGGACTAAGATTAGATAAGGAGAGCCAAGTGAAAAAGAATAAAATGGGACTCCTGAAGCCAACATATGAATATTCACCAAATTTCTATCCTTCTATGAATGCATTCCTCTGCCATAATTCTCCACCTAGTCAGTTTCATCTCTCTCTAATCCAACAAGTTAATAGAATAAGCTACAACTATACAGATACAGTATCCCCTCTACTTAAAACAAATCCACAGTTCATCTGCGGATGTTCTCTAGCTAGCTAGCTACTTATTCATCCATGCACCTACTTATACAATGCATAAGGTAAAGGAAACAGATATGGTTAAATGTTTTTACCTTATATTCTTTACCTGCCAGTCTAGTTTTGTATAAAGACAGTGAATAAAAAGAAATTAGGACAAATCAGTGTGCACATATGTTTCTAATGGTAGACTAAAAACAAGCAGAAAGAAAACCATCAACCTATCAAAGAAAATATTGCAGAAGCTAGGGCCTGGGCCTTGCACTCATTGCCAGAATTTGTGAATGATTAAAAAAGCTCCAGGCTGGGCCCTCCCTGGTGGTGCAGTGGGTTAAAGCACAGCACTAAGAAGCTAAGCTCCTTCAGCATGAGATGATCCCCCACCAGGAGGTGATCCGCATGGCACTGCAGACCTCTCCTGACCCTCTCCCGCTGCTCCCCTCAGCAGTGTAATTCGACGATCTGCCTGTTCTGCTCCCCACTCTGTCTCTGGTGAATCCTCTCACCACCCCTGAGCCTCTGGCCTGTACCCCAGTTCTGTATGCATAAATAAATAAGTCTAAAAAAAAAAAAAAGCTCCAGGCTAATACAGACATAGGTTGATGAGAAAAAATGGTAGGAAAAGCCCCCCCCCAGTCTTTTTTATCCGTTATCACTTCTTTTATCTGTTAATTCTATTTTGCCACCCAAAGACTTCATATTGCAACGGCCTAAAGAGTCTGTAAATGCATAGAAGATTAAAGGAGAATTCCAGGCAACAGTCTTGGGATGAAGAATAGGGGTAGCAAGAAATTTCAAGTGCAGCAGGAAAAATTAAAAAAAAAGAAAAGAAAAGAAACACGAAACGTAGATTCCAGAAACACTTGACTCTTCAGTGACTATTCCAAAGTATGATCTCTGAGTGACTTAAATTGTTAACTTTGCCAAGATGTTTAATCCTAAATAGCTCACAATTTAGAATAGTTTTTAAAACAATTATCTAAATGCATAGTAATCTGTAATCTAAATTTATCTAATTTTGTAAATTAAGGGAATTAAACAACAGAAAACAGCCCAGATAAATATAGAAAAGATGAATTATTCTTATAAAACAGATAATGCAACTCCACTTACCATGAAATATTTTTGTGTTACTAATACATTTCATCAGTCACTAAAATCCTAAAAACAATAAAAAATTAAAACGAGTAAACAAAGAATATAATTTCCAATTTTTCAAAATTCTAGTTTTATGCACACAACACACAATTAAACATTATAAATTAATTCATGGTTCCAAAAATTATATTTCCATTTTTTAACTCATTAAAGACCTTGAAACCTTTACCTAAAGGTTTAGGTAATTTTATATATTATAATTATTATTAATAATATATAAATGTTATATATAGTGTATATATATGTTATACACTATATATAATATTTAAATATTATATATAATAATATAATATATTCAGTGGCAAGTAGGCCACTGAAATGAAAAAAAAGGCTTATATTTTTATACATTGAAACCTTATCTACAAATAGGATAATTTGTATAAAGCAAAACAAGTAAGGATGTACAATTATATGAGTATTTTTAGGTTTTTCAGTAATCAAAGCATTTCGTTTTAAAGAAGTCATAGAGAAAATGAGAAAAATTCAACTAACTCTTCTGTGAAACAATATTAAAAATAATTCTCCCATGACAAATTGAAATGCTGTATCATACATGGTAAAACAAACAGAAAGGAAATTTAATTCACAGCAAGAGGCCAACATGTCATGACACATCTCAAGCATATGACATCTAGCTTCTTATATTATTATAAAATAGAAAAAGTAAAGATAGCTAAAACAATTTAAGACATAGGTGCTCAATATGATTTGCTCATCCAGAATCTTTTAATTTTTTTTCTAGATCAAAACTCTCATTTAAAAAGTTGGAATATTTTGTAATGAAATTTAAAGACCAGTGGATCTCACTTACCTCCTGGCAATCAGATTTTAAATACATAGGCAGCTAACAAGATCTTCTAGTCCAGTACAGCAAAGCAAGTAAGCCAAGTCTGTCTTTAGAACAGAATAAGAGGAGATTATAACACACAACTGTTCTTGGCATAATTTTCTGCTGGATTTCTAGAAGAGTATGTTGCCCTTCTTTCAAATCTCCAGCATGTCCTTGTGTTGTGAAACTTGTATTAAAAATGTTCATGATGGTTTACAAAATATAAAATAAATAAAATACCAACAAAAACTAATGAAACAAGCAACTCTTGTAAAACTTCAATGACACAAACATGCACACACACATCATAACAACAAGCTGAAAGGCAGCAAGCCGTTTCCTTCTTCAGTTCTCTTGTGTTTGTAGATATAATGATAGCCTTATTACACCAAGTTAAAACCATAACTCAGAAGGAAAAAGACAAATATTGGATGGTGTCATTTACTTGTGGATTATAGAGGAACAAAATAAGGGTCAATGAAAATGAACAAAGGGTTTTTTTAGCCAAGCTCAACCCCTAAGTTGAGGCTATCAATCTAGGAGCAGAAAGCTTAAAGGGAGGACACAATGAACCATGGTAAGGGACATTAGGTGTTTTGGTGGTGGGTGGTCCAATAACTGAAAGTCACATACGGTGTTGGAAAACAATGTTGTTTCAATTAAAAACAAACAAAAAACTTGCTGAGCATGCAAATTTCTTTTTATTGGTTATTCACTGGAGTGAAATATTGAAAATTAATACATAATGTTTTCATCATACTGAGCTAGATTGTCTTTAGTAAAAATATTGAATGCCCTGAGTTTCAGTTTTCGTTTTAAGAATCCCAATTGTAAGACTAAAACTATTTCTGCTTTTAGATAAAACTGAAAAAGGATCAGCACAAAATATTTGTTGTATTGAGGAGAGAATCAGAGTCAAATTACTAATAAAGAAGATTTTGCTTGTCAGGCTAATTAGAATTAAACATGAAATTTATAAGAAACAATTACCTGTTCGTTTAAACACAGCTACACAAAATTGCATAATGTTTGTGGACGTAAGTCTAAAAGTTTCCATTCAGTCAACAAATAATATTTACTTGAGTAGTCAAATACTCAAATATATTTTCAACCAAAATTTTATTTATTAAACACATTTTTAGAAATTGTTATACTTTCCAAATTGTAAAAAAGTCATATATTTTCTTTGACAGTTTTTAGAACTATAGTCAGAATAAATTTATTTGCACATAAGGGAAACTGATCAATTGCAAATGCAATTTATTTTCCCAACAATACATGGAAAAATATGGCAAATGCAACTTAAAAAATATTTATAAGACAGACTAACATGCATAGAAATGATTGGATTTGTTAGTTAAAATGTTTTAACTTCTTTTTTTAAATCATAGCTGTAGCTTTGCATCCCCAGCTTCTTTGTTACCCAATATGGAAAAATGCAGAGTGAGATTCTTACTGGCTTCATATTCTACTTGATTGGCAGGCTTCTGCTCTCCTATCACCCCAAAAGATGAACGGTTAATCTGCAGAATTCCTGTCTTTGAGCTGAGTTTGGCTTCCTGGCCCACATCTCTTACATTATTGTTGTAGAAACTGGAGTCCCACAGATGAGATATGTTACATAGCATTGAAAGCCTTTTGGGTCATAAAGGCACCACCACTATAATATCACTTCACGAACTATTATTAATTAAAGAACAGTTAAGATGAATAAATCAAAAACTTGATTGTAACTTTGTCAACCATAGGTTCAAAGGAAAATCAAGATAAGAGAATAAAACTGGAATGGAAATGTATTTAATCTACTTTAGCTTTCCAAGTTTAAGTGTAAGCAGACTGAGCAAATTCCTAAAGTCATAAATGAAAGCAATATAAATATAATTTTAAAAACACTCAAAGTAACATGAATCAACTATTTAAAGAGTGATCACAACAAACTGAATACTGTCAGCAACATAAAAGAGCCTTTTAAAATATGCTTTAAACAATTCTTGATTTCTATATAGATGTATGTCCTATCTATGAATCCTCTTTGAATTACTAAATATATCAGTTCCATCATGTTAAAATATGATCAGACAAAAATATTATTTCAGATACATTGCACTAAAGGAATAGGATAATCTTACAATAGTGGTAAATAATTTAAAGATTCATGATCTGCATTCAGTTGCAGCAAAAGAAACTATAATTACATATCATGAAAAACAGTCTAATAATAATGATTTAAAAACATGAGTCTGGTTCAATATATAGTATGTTCTGAATCATTATATAGTAACATTTGTACCAAGTTTTTATATCTATTAGAGAAATAAAAAATCAAACTGGAATATGTAACACTCTAAATCCTCAAAACCTAGTTAATATATTATGTTGCTCCCTGCACCTATCCAAACATGAGAAAAAATGTTTAACAAGTGGCACATATAATTACAAAGGCAAGTATATGTATATACATACACACTTAGTCCATGAACAATTGCTATAAGGAACTCATTTTCTTTATTTTATGGAGAGCTTCTTCATTGCATCCGTAGATTCAGTGCAAAACCAGTTGCAGGTGATAAGAACTAGCTAGGGTTTCAATTACACAATTATTTCTAGGGGAAAACATAGGATCATGATTCATTTGAAGAAAATCACATCAGATGGAATTTTATTCAATACTTCTATATGAATCTAATAACATTATCAAAATAGATTGAGGCAGTGGGATTAAGAATTAATTGTAAATGATCTTCCTAATATTCTTATTATGTTATCATATTTCTGTATTTATGAATTTACTATCGGAAAAAATTCAGAATTTCTTAAGACTAATTTAAGGTTTATTATTTTAAAAAATTGCCTTAGTATGGGCATATTTACATTCTTATTTTCCTTTGCTTTAAAGCAGCCCATTATACACATGTTGGAAATTATCTGTTTTATAAAATGATTTTCAAATTGAAAGGAATATTTATGAGTTGTAGATTCAGTAAATTGGGAACAAAATTAAAACAAACATTGTACCTACCTCCCATTGAGATATTTTCAATGTTTTTAAATGCTTCACAAAATATATACAAGAATATCAGATTATATCATTATTATGAGGCTTTAAAATATGATTTCTCAAAGGACTATCTTTAGGATGTAGGCCAGATTCTAGCATGTACAAGTACTTATTACCAACTTAATTAGTATGCAAACCACTTAAAAATCAGACTTAGGTTAAAGTTTGTCACATAAACTCATTTTAAAAAATATTTTTAAACAAAATTATTTTCTTTAAACTGTCTTCATTCTCTGCATTGAAAGTATGTTGCTTTTAATATCACACTACATACAATAGGCTAAATGCAATTTTATTTTTAAATTAATTGCAAACAGAAATCTAAGAACATAAAATGTGAGTGAAATATTTACATATTGCTTAACTTCATTAAAAAATTCAATTTTTGCAAATATGTGTTTATTTTTCAAATACTTATATACATGTACATGATTTGATATATTATGATTTAATGTTTCATCAGTATGAAACCTTAAATTTTCCCCACTAGTTATCCCAATGATTTGTCACTTTTCCCAACAAACATTTATTTTAAATGATTAAGACAGTATTTGCATCATGCATGGTGAGTAGCCATATTCCCATTTAAACAGAAGCCTGGTTATCACTATTGTTTATAAATTACAATTTAATGTTTTAAAAAATACTCAAATTTCTTTTAGAAAATAATTGACTTTCTCTTTAAAAATATTACTGTGCTCTAGCATATAGTATAATGTTTGGATCTCCAACACATATAACAAGCTTACATTCTAATTTTTGAACTGTATTTTTAAAAGAACTGGTTTTAATTTTTGATATATTAATTCATTTGAATGCATAAACAATAGCTACCTATAAGTCATCAACCTATTATTTCTATTACAAATACTAAAGAGCAACTTTGATTTTACATGATAAATAGCAATTGAAATTAGATAATTGTTAATAAATATTAAATACAGAGAACTGATCTGATATTTAAGAAAATGAGGAAAAAATAGTGGGAGGAAAAGATGATTCCCAAGTACAAAAATATAGTCTTTATTTTGATTAAATTAGATATTGTGAAGGGTCCTTCTTTGACTTTTATCCCTCATTAATACAAATAAGACCAGTATTTTTTAAATGAAATACATTTTTCATATTTATTATTAGATTCTATTAGAAATTTTGATACTCTTGATTAGTTACTATAGTCGATCTATAAAACTGCACATTCTACAAACAATATCAACGCGTCTTAATTCTTAACATATATTTAATATTTAATTGGTTTCTGTTTTGAGAAGAACATTATATCAGCTGGTAAAAGAAAAAAAAAGCTAATTTTTTAAATGTTAAAGTTTTATAGTTGTATTCCAATATTTTTAGTGGGCAAAAAACAGAAATTGGAACTTTATGAATATGAAATATAACTATTGTGGAATTAAAATGTGGCTACAGAGTCAAACAACTTTATATTCTCCATTTATAAGCTTTTAAAATATTTGAAGTGATCACAGAAGTAAATCATCACTTTTAAAAAGGTTTAAATCGGATAAGTTTGAAGCTCCTAAGTGAAATTCTAAAGCTACTTCATTTAAGCCCTCTCTCTAGCTCTAACCTTAACATGTAAAGTATATAGTAGTAATCATCTACTTTATTATACCTCAAAGATGAAGGCAGCTAAAATTTTAATAATAGACAATATTCCCTAATTTATTATTGATGTAGAAAAAGCTTAGAAAAATATGTCAGCATATTTTCAAAAAATACTTTATCTTACAGTCACAATATCTTGTGACTAGATGCAACGATATCTTAAAATATTAAAATTCACCCACTGAAATATAGATGCAGTCAGCCCCAGAGGCAAAAAAAAAAAAAAAAAAAAAAAAAAACAAAAAAAACATGTCCCTGTGTAGACTGCTGCCCTGAGGAATGTGCTATTCCTGCTGGATTTCTTGTTCCCTGGAGGTAACAATCTCATTAAAAGGATGAACTGATTTTCCCACACCCAGGGGAAGACACAGTGCCCAGAAAAGCTTTCTATATAGATACCTCACC